AGCTGAAATCTTTTATTCTTAAATCTGGTACAAGACAAGGATGTCCTCTATCACCACTCATCTTCAATATAGTTCTGGAATCATTAGCTACAGCCATTAGACAAGAGAAATAAATAAAAAGAATAAGAATAGGTAAAGAAGAAGTTAAATTATCTTTATTTGCAGATGACATGATACTTTACTTGGAAGACCAAAACAACCCCACCAAGAAGCCACTAGGCAAAATACAGAAATTCAGTAGCGTGGCAGGTTATAAAGTCAATCCCCAAAAGTCAATTACATTCCTCTACACAGACAACAAACACACTGAGAGGAAATTACAGAAACAATAACTTTTACAATAGCACCAAGAAAAATGAAATTCCTTGGAATTAATCTAAATAAAGAAGTCAAGATCTTTTCAAGGAAAATTAAACTAATCTGAAAAAGAGATCGTAGATGATTTCAGAAAATGGAAAGATATTACCTGTTCTTGGATAGGAAGAACCAACAATGTGACGATGGCCATATTCCCAAAATTGCTGTACAGATTTAATGCAGTCCCTATCAGACTACCACCAACATACCTCACAGAGCTAGAGAAATCATTCCTAAAATTTATCTGCAACCAGAAAAGACCTAGAATAGCAAAGGCAATCCTGGGCAAAAAAGACAAGGCAGGAGGCATTAAAATTCCTGACTTGAAATTATACTACGAGGTTACTGTGATAAAATCAGCATGGTACTGGCAACAAAATAGATCTGAGCATCAATGGAATAGATTAGAAGACGCTGAAGCCCATACAAACACACTCAGCCACCTTATCTTTGATAAAGGAGTCAAACACTCACTGGAAGAAAGAGAGCCTCTTTAACAAATGGTGCTGGAAAAACTGACTGTCTACATGCTGAAAACTAAAACTTGACCCAGGTCTATCATCATGCAGTAAAATAAAGTCTAAATGGATTAAAGATCTAAACATTAAAGCAGAGACACTAAATCTGCTGGAAGAGAATGTAGGAAAAACTCTTGAAGACGTAGGGGTCGGCAAAGACTTCATGTACAGAAGTCAAATCACATGGGAAACAGTTGAAAGAATTAGCAACTGTGACCTGCTCTTACTGAGAAGTTTTTTCACATCAAAAGAAAGTAACAACAAAGTGAAAAGGCAACCCACAAACTTGGAAAAAATCGTGACAAATAAGTACTCAGACAAAGGTCTGATCTCTAGAATTTATAAAGAACTAAAAAACACTAGGACCCCAAAATTTAAAGACCCAATCCAGAAATGGGCAACTGAAATGAACACACACTTCTCAGAGGATGAAATTAAAAAGCGAATAAATATATGAAAAAATGCTCCACATCAGTAGCCATCCAAGAGATGCAAATGAAAACAACATTCAGATATCATCTCACCCCAGAAAGAATGGCTATCATAAAGAAATCACCCAACAACAAATGTTGGAGAGGCTGTGGGGAAAAAGGAACCCTTCTCCACTGCTGGTGGGAGTGTAGACTGGTGCAACCGTTATGGAAATCAGTATGGAGACTCCTTAGAAAAGTTGGTCTGGAAATCCCCTTTAAACCAGCTATTCCTCTACTGGGAATTTTCAAAAATTATATGAAAACATCATATAATAGGGATATATGTGTGCCTATGTTTATAGCAGCACAATTTGTGATAGCCAAATCTTGGAAACAACCAAGATGCCCATCACCTGAGGAATGGTCGAAAAAGATGTGGCATTTTTACACAATGGAGTATTATTCAGCTATTAAGAATGATAAACTCGAAGCCTTTATATTGAAGTGGATGCCACTTAAAGACATACTCATAAGTGAAATAAATGAGACACACATGTAAAAATATCATATAGTTTCCTTACTATAAGTACTCAAAACAAGAAATACACATAGAAAGGCATAATAAAAGTAAAAGGGAAGCAGGATCTCGAATACTAACTAATCAAGAGAGGGAAAGGAGAAGAGCTAGGAAACATGACAATGTCAAGTCATACAGTTATATGTAGAAGATGGGCAAGACAATGATTCTGTGAATCTCCAGAAGATTTTTGAATCTAGCAGTTAATTGGAAAGATTCTCACCCTCACTAACTATATATACTGAGACCTGTGAAATAAGCAACTGCACTGCAGATGGTAATCTGTAATAGTAGTTTCATGCTTGGAGTGCCTGTCATTTTTTTCTTCTGAATTCGGGCTGCTTGTCAGGACATGCCATTTGATGCTGTGCTTTCTCTTGGGTAGATGATTGTTCAAAAAGAAGTGGGTGGTGAATGAAGGCAAGAGACAGGAAAAGGAATATTGTGGGACTGTCCTGCTTCAAGGTTGTATATGGTTAGATTTTTGGGATTATATGTAAATATAAGAAGTAAATAATTCTTTATGCCTATTTTTGAAAATATAATCTAATTTTTAAATTTTTTTATTATATTCTGTAGGGACTTAAATTTCAACATATCAATACTTGATGAAAAATACCTATTCCATGTCATGCCTAAGATGTTTGATATTCAGACAGATAGTGAGGTTAAGCTTAACAGCCTAGCTTCAATGGTAATAACAGTAAGCTTCTCTTCTGGATGGTTAGCAACCTACGTTTGCAGACCAAAATTAGAGAAAAAGGAGGGCCGCAAGGAAATCCAACGTTTTGACCCTAGCCTTCCAAGGTCAATTAAGACTCAGGACATATGAGAACTTGTACTTTAACGTCATGTAATGTGGTAGTGTTCCAAATTTTCTGATCAAGGAGATTATGGGGCCAAAGCAGAAAGTGATTGATGATGTATAGTGTGCCTAAGGAGAGTCACATGGAGAGAAAACATTCTCTCATTCTTTCACAGAGAGCACATTGGCCAAGCAATGGCTGTGACTCATCTACATGGCTGACACTGACAAAGGATCTACAATCTGAGGTATAGAGTCTCAAGATAAATCCTGAGGGGATTTCACTGATCTTATCAGACCCAAAAGCTACCACTCTTGTTGCATATGTCCTGCTTTACCTTGGTCTTAACCATCCAGCCGAAAAGTATAAAAATGCAATATAAGAAGTAAAGCCATGGTGTTATATTGAGCTGTAGGGGACTCAGGTCAACAATTTCTGACATTGCCAATGAAGCGAAAGACCCAATACTATTATGGGCTACTGGACTCTTTTAGACTATTTTGCTGAGTTTACATACCTATAATATTCAAATAACTGAACTTAACAAGAAAAGGGGATACAGATGAATGTCCATTTTGTATCTGTGTATTCAAAGTGGTTGGGATAGAAATATAGTTACATTCTCTTAACGAATAGAAGGATTTGTTCTAATGGTGTTTGTAAATAGGATATCATGTCCGCATCTTGTACAGCAATTAATCACTAGGAAAAATGTATGCTATGTGTTAATTATTGAAACTGTCCTACCAGTTTGGTTTGAAACTGTCTTATTGCTATTTGTTTTTCAATGAAATTATGGGAAAAAAAGCTGATTCCACCATGTTGTAATTTATAAACAATGTAAATATCTCCGCAGTGAATTGTAGTGTGTGCTGTAGCGTACAACACTAGAATTCTGCAAATTTTGCAGGACATGTTTCTGCCTTCATCCTCATATTACATGCACTGTGATATGATGGCTTTTGCTTTAAAGATATTTGAGTGTTCCATGAATGGGGAGTGTGCCATTTCTGCTTAATCTCAACAATGACTTAATTCACCATATTTTTATTCTGATATAATAATGCTATCACTTCTGCAAAAAGGCCTATGACACCCTCCTGAAATGTAGATATTATTACTTGTTAAATTCCTTATTGTTTGCAGATTTTACTTGCTATATTGTTGCAGACTCCATAGTCTGTCTCCTCTATCACGTATGTATTTTAGGAGAACAGAGATGAAATCCTAGGAATTGAGATTGTGCTGTACTATACGGATGTTGTATACCAAAGATATGCCCCTACCTTCAGTCAAACTCAATCACTCTGAGTAGCTGCTTTGTGTGAAGAATAGTGTCAGGCCCTGAAAAAATGAAGTATGCCTGAATCTTGGCTTGAGTGTAATCTTGGTGTTGGTTCAAAAGTTGTAAAACTTTGGTTTCAAACTTTTTTTTGGTTTTGGTTTTGGTTTTGGTTTTGGTTTTTCTTTTTCTTTTTCTTTTTCTTTCTTTTTTTTTTTTTTTTGCGGAAATGTGAATTGAACTGAGGTCCTTGAGCTTACCAGGGAAGCACTTATTCCACTGAACCATCTCCCCAGCCCCCTTGGTTTTAATCCTACTTCTTATTAAACTTCATGATGGGGATGTAATTTAGCAGCTTCAAGGTAGGAGAAAGGGTTTTTTAAAAAAGAAAACACATCTTTTAGTGCAACTAGAAAGAATAAATCTAGGGCCAGCCAGATAGTTCAGCAGACAAAAGCATCTGCTTAGGCAGGGTGCAGTGGCTGTGGTTCAACCCCAGGCATACTGTGAAAGCCCTACCCCTGAAGCACACTGAGATGGCAGTTGAGACCTGGTATGGTGGCACATGCCTGTAATCCCAGCACTTAGGATGCTGTACTAAATACATAAAGAAAGAAAAGAAAAAATAAATCTATGTAGCCAGATCTGGTGATACATAACTGTTATCCCAGGGAATCAGTGGACCAAAATAAGTCTAGCGAATCTTTGAGGAAATCTGAAGTACTTGGTGATATTCTGTGTCAAAACAACAGATTCATATAGCTGGGAACACAAGTCACTGGTAAAACACATTCTTATTCATTTTCCAGCAATGCAAAAACTAAAAAGAAAGAAAATATTACCAGGTATGAGATAAAAGGAAAATTAATTTGAGTACAGTGGAAAGGAGAAAGTTTGTTTTGATTGTGGCGTTAACAGTGTAACAAATGACTTGATAAATGAAGGAAAAATTTTATTGCCAATGTCCGCTGCAAGACTTTTCCCATTCCGTGGAGGTATGGAGTAAATATAACAGAGAGTGAGAACGTCTGCAGGACATGCTCCTACCTGTGTCATTGGTGATCTCGTTGTCTGCACAAGGGGTACAATCAAAACAGCAGGCAGCTTTTCCCTCCTGAGGGCTTTTTCTAAATCCAAGACTGCAACTGTCACTGCATACCGAGCGGGGAGTCTAAGGAAAAGATGTAAGTTGGTAACTTCTTAAACGTTTCTTCCTTCTTCAGAATGAGAGAGACAAACTTAATTTGTATATATGCATAAACAAAGCCATATAATTGCAGGCCAAATTTATTTCATACTCAGCCATCTTACATTTGACAAAGGGGACAAACATGTTGACTGGAAAACAGCTTCTCTAATAAATAGTGAAGGAAAAACTTGCTCTCCACATGTCAAACAGTAAAACTAGAACTGGATCTACTGCTATGCACTAAATAAGTGTCAAAATGGGCTGGGAAGATGGCTCAGTAGAATAAGCACTTGCCTGGCAAATGAAAGATCCTGCATTCAATCCTTGGTTCTGAAAAAAAAAAAAGAAAAAAAAAGGTCTGAGGCAAGGCGCAGCATGGGTGAGACCCTCTTCCACCCCATTGGGATGTTCCCACCACTTCGCAGCACCCCCCTATCCCACCCGCTGAGTGAGAATTTCTGCCATGTTTTGGGAACCCCCAGATCCAGTCTTAGTCCAGGCGCAGTGTGTAGGACAGCTTCCAGATATCCTGCACCAAAGGGAGCCTGTGGGTCTGAGCCCAGGTGAGCTTCAGAGAGACCCTCTTCCACCTCACTGGGAACCCCGCAACACTCTGCAGCACCCACACCCCAACCCTGCCCGTGCAATGAGAATTTCTGACACATTCTGGAGACCCCCAGAACCAGACCTAGCCCAGGTCTGGTGAGTGTGTGGGAGAGCTTCCAGGTACCCTGCACCAGCCACCATACATGGAAGAACCTGCTGGTCCAAGTCCAGGCATAACATGGGTGAGACCATCTACCACCCCATTGGGACCCACCCCACCATTGCACAGCAGGCACCCCTCCCATCCACCCAGTGAGAATTTCTGCTGCTTTCTGGGGACCCTAGATCCAGCCCTGGCCCAGGTCCTGTAAGTGGGTGGGAGAGCTTCCTCTTGCCCCCTCCAGACTAAGCTGGCCTGGCATACAGGCATGGGTTGAAACCTTGCAGTTGCCATCCCTGCAGAGAGAGTAGGGGATAGAACCACCCAGCTAGTCCAGGAGCAGAACATCTTGCCAGAGGGGCACATCAGGTTCACTCCCAACGGCGGCAGCAGGAAGGAGCTGAGCACAGCAGCTAGACCCAAAACAGGCATAGTTGGATAAATCCAAACTTTGTAGATCTGCACCTGAATTTCAGTACCTGCTAAGATTATAATTGCTCTAAAGCTATACAACAAAGGTCAGAGGACAGTGCTACAAAATATGACAATGAGAAGGAGCAAAATGAAATCTCAGACCCCAAGCCCACCCATAACAAGTGCAGAGGACGATAACACAGAACAAATTGGGAATCACACAGCTATAATCAATGAATCAATGGCTTATGAAATAAACAACTGCAGAAAGGTATAGAGGAACTCAGATTGGAAATGAAAAGAGAAATCCCTGAATTTATAGCATCTACAGTAAATAATCAAATGCAGAAACATATGGAGGAAACCCAATGCCTACCTAGAACAAGTGCAGAGGAAACTAGCTCTGCTCAAATGTATGAATTAATAGCGTTGATAGTAAATAAGCAACACCAAAAAGTGATAGAGGAAATTAGAGTGGAATTCTTTTCTACTAGCTCAGCTCAAATGTATGAATTAACGTCGATAGTAAATAAGCAACAGCAGAAAGTTACAGAGGACTCACAGTGGAATTATTTTCTGAAATAAAAAAAAGAATTCTCTGAACTTATAGCATCTGAAGTAAAGAATCAACTCAGAAACATAGAAAGGAAACCCAATCTAAAAAAAAAACAGTTCAGTAAAAGAATTGATAACTGTTTCTAAAGAAGACATTGATAAAAAAAAACAATAGAGGATACCAGAGAACTGACAGATTCCTTGAATGAGAAATACAGGAAAGAAATAGATGGCATGAAGCAGAGTCAAAGAGATATAGAGGAAATTAAAATCTCAATCCCAAGCTTGCAAAACCATTTGAGTAAAGGTGAAGACAGAGTTTCAGATCTTGAAGACGCTGAAACAGGTAAGAAAAGGTAAGAAAGGATCTCTTAAAAATAACTAGGGGCCTGAGTTCAACCCCCCGTTCAGCAAAAAAAAAAATCAATATGTAGTTCAGACTTAGCAAATATACATGCCTATGAAACGTGTGACTCCTTTTGCCAGCTAAATGACATTAGGTCGGCAATGCTTCTTGACTACTGAAAGATCTCTACTGACCTATTGTACCTTTTCCCTTCTTTTTCTGCCAGTAAACTAGGAATTCTCCCTGAGCTTTTCAGTGGAGCAACTTAATGAGTCACTCCTTCAGAAATTAGGCTGAGGAAGACACTTATGTCCTACAATGGCTGTCAAGGAAAGAATTTACATCTGTGTGTTACACATTAAGAATAAAAAGATTTTTACCAGCCTTAAAAAAATTTAAAAATAAAGCTGGTGTGTACTTATAAAGAAAAACAACTAGGATGCAGGAAAACATAATTCATCACCTGCAAGATGATGCAAAGATGAACAATGTGAGACTAATAGGTATCAATGAGAAAGAAAGAGTTAATACAAATGACATTTAAAAATATGGGCAGAAGTAATAGCAGAAAATATCCCAAATAAGAGGAAACAATCTCATATTCAGGTAACTGAAGCATACAGAATGCCAAATAACCTCAACCCTATTAAAAACACACCGAGACATATAAGAGTCAAGATCCCAGAAAATAGGCCCAAGCATAAAATACTTAAAGCCGCTAGAGCAAAGAAGTAGATCATATTCAAAGGAAAACCCATCAGAATTATGGCTGACTTCTCTTCACAAACCATGAAGGCAGGAAGAACATGGAGCAGAGTACTTCAGGTCCTCTATTAAAACAAATTCCAGCCCAGACAACTATATCCTGCAAAACTCTCTTTTAAGTTTGATGGAGAAGTGAAATCCTTCCATGACAAAGAACAACTAAAGAATTTCATGATGACAAAGCTAACCCTACACAGGTTCCTGAAAGATGTTCCAGAGAGGGAAAAAATGATCAGAACTACACGAATGAGATCAGAAGCCACCAACTAAATAGGGAAAACAATTAAACACAGTAGAAAAATGAGGAAATGGCAACAGGTAAATAACATGTCAATCATAAGTCAACACATCTCAATTATAACCACCAATGTAAATGGACTCATTTCACCAATTAAGAGAAATAGACTGGTACAGTGGATTAGGAAACAAAATTCAACAATATGTTGTATACAAGAAACACATTTAATTCATTAAAACATTCATAGGCTGAAAGTCAAAAGATGGAAAACAATATTACATGCCCCAGCACCTCAGAAAAAAAGCAGGGAGAGCAATCTTATTCTCAGGCAGTCTCAAATTCAAACCAAAAATGATCAAGCAAAATAAAGAAGGCCATTATATACTGCTTAGGGGAAAAATTCAAGAGGAAAAGGCAACACTCATAAATATGTATGCACCAAATACGGGAGCACCCAACTATATAAAGCAAATCTTAATGGACATGAAAAACCTAATGTCCAATAGCATAGTCTTAACAGGAGACCTTAACACCCACTTATCCCCAAAAGATAGGTCAACAAGACAAAAAAAAAATTAGCGAAGAAATAACAGAACTGAGCCAGAGCTTGAAACAAATGGACTTGGTGGACATATACAGAGTGTTCCACCCAAACACAGCTGAATACAAATTTTTCTCAGCTGCACATGGGTCATTTTCTAAAACAAACCACATACTGGTCCATAGGTAATGCTTAAGTACATGCAAGAAAAAAGAAATTATCCCACGCATATTATCTGACCATAGTGCAATGAAACTGAAAATGAATGATGACAGAAACCACAAAAAAACCTTAAATACATGGAAATTCAATGACGCCCTACTCAGCAACCAATGGGTCACAGATGAAATTAAACAAGAAATTCAACAATATCTACAATTCAATGAAAATTCAAGCACAACTTATTGGAATTTATGGGATACGATGAAAGCAATTCTCAGAGGGAAATTCATAGCTGCGAACTCACACATTAGGAAAACAGAACGGGAACACATAAACACTCTAATACTGCACCTCCAACAACTAGCAAAGGAAGAGCAAATCAAACCCAGAGACCAAAGATGGGAAGGAATCATAAATATTAGAGCAGAAATTAATTCAATTGAGATGAAGAAAACATTTCAAAGAATTAACGAAACAAAAAGTTGGTTCTTTGAAAGATTAAATAAAATCGATTAGCCCCTAGGTAACATCATCAAAAAGGGGAAAGAAAAAAATTCAAATACAAGCAATAAGGAATAAAAACGGTGTAATTACCAGAGACCCAGTGAAAATTCAGAAGATTATCAATAGCTACTTTGAGAATCATTACTCTTGAAGAATAGAAGACACAGAAGAAATGACCAGATACCTAGAAAGGTACAAATTACCAAAGCTGGATCAAGAAGATATAACCACTCTCAATAGCCCAATAACAGCCAATAAGATACGAGATGTAATAAAAAGCTACAGACAAAGAAAAGTCCAGGTCTGGATGGATTCACAGCTCAATTCTAGAAGAAATTGAGAGAAGATGTACTCCCTATACTAGTCAAACTCTTCAATGAAATTGAAAAGGAAGCAATCCTCCCAAAATCACTCCTGGAGGCAAGTTTTATACTGATACAAAAAGTAGGGAAAGATGCAACTAAGAAAGAGTACTATAGGCCAATCTTCCTCATGAACATAGATGTAAAAATCCTCAATAAAATCCTATGAAATAGAAAACAACAAATCATCAAGAAGATCATACACCATGACTAGATAGGATTGATCCCAGGGTTGCAAGGATGGTTCAATATTCAAAAATCTATAAATGTGATACACTACATCAATAGATCAAAAACTAAATACCACATGATCATCTCAATTGAGGCAGAAAAAGCTTTTGACAAAGTTCAAAGACATTTAACTCATTCATGTTCAAAGTCCAACATAA